TTCAACTAGACGTGAAAAACGCCTTCCTGAACGGAGACCTAGTAGAAGAAGTGTATATGGATATCCCTCCTGGCTTCGAAACTGATCAAACACGAGGCAAAGTATGTAGACGTAGTCACTATATGGGCTCAAGCAATCACCTCGGGCCTGGTTCGACAGATTCACAAAAGTACTAAAACAGGATGGCTACCTACAGTCCCAAGCCGATCATACTCTGTTCTTCAAACATTTCACCGATGGTAAGATCACTATACTAATAGTATATGTTGATGATATAGTCCTCACTGGGAATTATGACGAAAAAATAAGCAGACTAAAGCTCCTATTGTCAAAAGAGTTTGAAATCAAGGATTTGGGACATCTAAGGTACTTCTTGGGACTGGAAGTAGCGAGATCAAAGGCCGGAATTGCAATGTCCCAGCAGAAGTATGCCTTCACTACTAGAAAAGGTGTGATTTGCAATGGAATATTGCCACAAATGGATTTCCGTTGAAATATTGCAATGGAATTTGCAATGAAAATTATATTCATTGCTAATTTGCAATGAATGTTGCTATGGAATAAGTTTCATTGCCGGGAACATATGTTGCAACTGATTTTGCAATGCTGACAAGTTTCCATTGCAGTAACTGTGACAAAAATAGCAATGACATATAAGTCAATTGCAAAAATGTAATTTTGCAACCGATTTGCAATGGAAGTACTACTCATTGCAAATGTTCTTTTGCAACAAGATTTTCTTGCAATGAAAATTTGCAGCATAATTCCTTTTGTTTTAATTTGTTTTTTATATTTACATCAAATAAAAAGTAATTAAAAGCATTACATATGGAGACATATACGAAATGAAAACCATTTGAACAAAATGTTTTCTTTCTCAGTCATACCATATGTAAACGTCGTCGTTTTTTGAAATTGAGTTTCAACATTGTACTATAATATTTAAAATATTTGTTATTAATAAATAAAATAAAAAATTATATGTAAAAAGTAACTAAAATGATCTTCTACAGTAACTTCATCTAATACAGTCAGAAAAGTAATTTCAACCTTACTTTTTCTTATTATTACACAACTCAGCGCGAAATCAAAAGTTTTATGTTTGATAAAAAAGCCGGTTGAAAAGCCTGATAAGCTGAAAAAAAGAGTCACCAAACATGTTCTTAGTTATGTTAAACCTTAGAAAACTCATTCTTTTTACCCACCGATTTAATTAAGAAGAAGCCAAAAAGTAAAAACACACGAAAATGAAAACCAAAATAAAGGAGTTGAAAAAATGAATTATCAAAGCCCAATGAATCGTAACCTACGAAGAAGTCCAAGCCTCAGCGCATCAAAAGAGAGAAGCATCTGCGCTTCAAAGGAGAGAAGCCCGTGCGCATCAAAATCGTAACCTAGGGGAAAGAATGAATCGTAACCTAAGCCGAAGCCGAACTCTTCAGTTCTTACCTAGCAGATAAACGAAGGAATGTCTCAGCGGCGCACCACCTCACTTCTTTGTCGTACCAACAGCCCCTTTTAGCCTCATTGGAACATGTTAGTTGTTACATTTTCTTTTCCTTTTCTTTTGAGTGATTTAGCAAAATGAAGGAAACCCTCTGTGGCGCACATTTTATCCAAGCCTCCTCACTTCTTTGTCGGACTAACAGCCCGTTTCAGCCTCATCAGAGCAGGTTAGTTGTAATCTTCTATTTTCCTTTTCTTTCGAGAGATTTAGCAAAACCGAAATAGTAGAGGATAATATAATCACTTTAGAACGAGTGGAACTCTGAAAAGAATCTGAAATGAGAATATGGTTCTGTCATCATTGTTGTGGTGTTATTTCAGCCTACAATTATTGCATAATTCTGTGTTATAGATTGATCAATGTATGCATTCAAGGTGTTTGATGAAAAGTCTAAGTGGAGTGGATTAAAACTCCACCCGCTCTCATTTCTTGTTTGGTAAATGATTAATTTCTCTATTTATTTTAAAATTAAACTTAAAGAATATGTGTCCTGGAAGTACTTTCATTATATGTTGTTTGAATTTATAACTCAAATGAACTATATAACTCATTTTGATGTTTTTTGCATATTAGTGTGTTCATGTTTATAATATCTGATCTTTTAGCATAATATCTTTATTCACAAACTCATCTAAAAGCAAAATCAAACAAGAGAGCTCCTTTCCATTAACTGGTTTCTGCAGTGGACTTCTTCCCTCAATCACACTCGTTTTGTGAAACAGGAAATTTTTGAATTTTTAATTTTTTTTACTATTATGATTTGAATTATAATTTTTGAAATAGATAACCACCAACAAATATTTTCTCTGTTTTAAATTATGATTTAGAAATGGACTCTGATGCGACTTTAATTTATCTACTTTTTGTCCAAATGTTGAGATTGTAGTGTGTCATCACAATGCTATGGTTAGATTGATCATGAATTTTGTTGATTTTTTAATTGCGCTGCTTTTGATAATTATTCTAAAGCATAATTAAAGCACATGTGGGGGATTAAATCATATATTTACTAGCATGCTCTCATATTTGGTGATTAGATTCATCTTTCGTGCATGTCAAATAATTGGCTAATTCAAAATGTGAAGGTGGTTGGGAAGGAGCGATCACTGAGCAAATATATTTCAGCCAGTAAATGAGATATCAGTAGTAAGTGTGCCGCCTTTTGCATCTTACGAAATTTTATCAATGGTACATTGCTTTTGAACATTAATCCATCGTACATACTTTTTGTGGAATTTCTGTTGAGTATGAACTATGACCATATTAATCTAATTAATATAGGTTACTGAAGCGACGAGATATTGGGCAAGAGGACAAATATTTCTTTAAATTTACACGGTGATTTCTAACTCATTTCCATGCTTTAGAGTTACATGATTTCAAACTATTTTTCTTTCAAAAACGTGATGAAACATTACCTTTCTTTTCCCTATGATTGCTTCATTTATAGACTAAAAAACTACTTTATATGAATAGTTAATACAAAGAGGTTAGCCATCTTCTGATTACTTCTTTCAAAAGTAAATGTATTGTTTCTTTAGTATGTAAGTACTAAGCAGTTTAAATGATAAGTATTCAAATAACATGCAGTTTTCAAGCTTAGCTTTTGTCTCATAAATAGTGTTCTGAAAAGCGTTATGTGATAAACAAGGATCACTCAATGCCAAGGTGGGATGAATTATGAAATATTTTGAAGTAGAGATTAGAGGCCTAACCCTTAGTGCCCTTAGACAGGTATTTTTACAACAATGCTAACCTCCAGCCTAATGATGATGGATTGATGATACCGTATATAATCATCTTTGTGTTTATTATTGAAAAACAAGCTTTATATGTTAAATGAGAACGAAAGAACATTGGTTTTATCTATATCAATTAAAAGTTTTGTGTGATGCATTGCAGTACAACACGCATGTTCATTTTTTTCTTTTCAATTTTGAGTATGAAGTCTTTATGCACTACGACTAAATTATATTCAACTCCTATACTCAGTATTTTTCTTTCTTTGGTTGCAGTTTTAGGCCGTCAGCACACAATATGACCTATGAAACACTTCATTACAACAACATGGATGTGTTGAGACATATACTTTAAAGCTTAGGGTGGAAGGATGTAACAACTTGTACAACACCAGATGGAATGTCAAGTAAAAGTGGGAAGCATCAAAAGAATGATGATTTTATCTATTTATATCTATGTGTTAAACAGTCCGATTGAGGCAATAGTTTGTGGCAGTTCAAGCATTTGTTGAATTCGGGGTTGTGTGAGCGTCTAATTTGTTAGTGTATGGTTGAACTCTATTATGTGAAATTGTATATTGAATACTTTTAGAGTTTATGATAATATATAAGTTTAGATTTTACATATTTTTGGTGTGCAATTAGTTTTCTAGCGATACAAACTGGCTGAAATCCAGTTTAAGTATGTTTGCAATAAAATCAAGTCAAATGGAAAATAACGATTTGTAAATTAAATCAAATGTGATTGTGAAATAATCCAAAGCAATGGTGCAATATATGCAATAGAAATAGCAACAGGAATTTCATAGCAATTTTTGCAATGGAAAAGGTGTGTTGCAATATATGCAATAGAAATAGTAATAGGAATTTCATAGCAATTTTTGCAACGGAAAAGTTTTGTTGCAATATTTGCTACAAAAAGTGCAACTAAAATGAAATCGTTACAACTATTGTGACAACGGAACATGTGTTGCAATTTCCATTGCATATCATTGCAATGGACATGATTTGTGTTGCAAAAATTGCAAGGACGGTTTCAGCAATGGAATTGTGTGTGTTGCAATTTTCGTTGCAAATCAGGATTTGTAATGGAATTCCAACATTTTGCAACGAATTTAGTGCATTGCAATTTGATGCTTTTATTGTAGTGCTTGGATCTCTTAAAGGAAACCGACATGATTGGATGTAGGCCGGTGGACACTACTATGGACCCTAACACAAAGTTGATGCCTCGAACAGAAGAGATGGCTGTGGACAAAGAACAATATCAACGTCTAGTTGGGAAGCTAATTTACCTAACTCACACACGTCCTGATATCAGTTTTGCAGTCAGCCGTGTGAGTCAATTCTTAAGCAACCCGTCAGTCTCCCACATGGAAGTTGTGTATCGTGTTCTTAGATACCTCAAGAGGGATCCTGGAAAGGGTCTAATGTTCAAGAAGACTCACAATCACTCTCTAGAAGTCTACACAGATGCAGATTGGGCTGGATCCCCTATTGACCGAAAATCAACTTCAGGGTATTGCTCCTATGTGTGGGGAAATCTAGTGACATGGCGTAGCAAAAAGCAACAGGTGGTAGCACGCAGCAGTGCTGAGGCAGAATTCCGAGCCTTAGCTCAAGGCATTTGTGAAGGAATATGGTTAAAACGGCTACTAGATGAACTCAAAGTGAACATTTTTGGACCTATAGACATTCTGTGTGATAACCAGTCAGCCATAGCCATTGCCAAAAATCTATCATGACAGAACAAAGCATGTTGAGATTGACAGACACTTCATCAGCGAGAAGATAGAGAGCAATGTTATCGCACTAAAACATGTTCCATCTAGATATCAAGCGGCAGACATTCTCACAAAGGCACTCTTTCGACCAAACTTCATTGAACTAAGTTCAAAACTTGGTTTAATGAGTATATACCAGCTAGTTTGAGGGGGAGTGTAGAAATTCAAACAAGTCGGCTATATAGGGCAAGAATAATAGTTTCCTATTTTTGTGGATCTAGAATATCTTGAGATCTTATTTGATATATATGTATAGCACTATATTTATTTCCTTAAGTAGGAGTAGTCTCTAGAAATCATGATCAATTCAAAGGGATCCTTGTGTATAAATATACCCGAATTCTTCATAATAAACAAGTGAGATAATTCCAATTCTGATCTCCTTCAATTTGTGTGTTTCTTCTTCATTGATTTTGCTCGTTTTCACTTTTATATTCTTTGGTTTATTCATTTGACAACCCAAGACTCCATGAAAATGGCATTTTAACCCCAAACATTTTCAATTTTAAATCTCTCTCATAGTTCCTATAATAAAAAATCATTCAAAATTGACCTGAAAAATAGATTAAATATATAGTAAAAAAAGATTTCACTATAAACTTGATTGTTATGATTTTCAATTCAATTGTCCCAAATGGACGAGGGTTCTTGCCTCTTGGGTGTATCTTTGAATTTAATACAAATGGATGGTATTCTTCATATTTGCACCTAATCCTATATGCAAAAACTGTTGAGGTCCGTTATTGAATGCTAGCTAGCTGGCTGGCTACCCAAGACTTTTGAAGTATATTTTGTACCAAAGTATATATACAGAGAGTTTGTACTTCCTTTTTGTGTTGGGAATTCAACATTAATTGTTTCTCTGTGAGCACATAATATTAGTGTATGAAATAGCAGAAATACAGTCCCAAATAAAGATAGAAAAAACATAGAAAAACAAGGCCCAACCAGCATAAGCCACATCAAGAGTGAAATAGCTTGAGATAGAAAGAGAGAGCTGCGCCCTTGGATCTCCTCGGAATCCGTCCGCTGTTATCTGAGGATTGATTCATCTGTCCATGGCTCTGGTTGGGCATCCACTCTTACTTCTTCTGATCTCCTCCTCACTTCTATGCCTCACCCATGGTTAGTTTCTTACATGGCCGCACTAAGTCTAATTCTCTAAGTCAACTCTAAAGATCAGAGCTCTCAAATCCTCTGTTTTTTTTTCGATACTTTCTTGATTCAAAAAATGTTGAATCAAAAGCTCTGTTTTTTGCAGGTGGGAGGGAGAGTTTCTGGAGGGATAAATACCCATTCATAAAATACGCTGGCTCGTACTCTTCCTCCGGGGCATCCTCGCCGTCGGCGTCAAACGCCGCCGTGGGTGGCAGAAGCAAGGAGTACGATTACATCATAGTGGGCGGCGGGACGGCGGGGTGTCCCCTTGCGGCGACTCTGTCGGAGAAGTTCAGTGTTCTGTTGCTGGAGAGGGGCGGGGTGCCGTTCGGGAACTCAAACGTGTCGTTCTTGGAGAACTTCCATATTTCGCTGGCGGACACCTCGCCGTCGTCGGCATCGCAGGTGTTCGTCTCCACCGACGGGGTGTACAATTCGAGGGCGAGAGTTCTCGGGGGTGGTACCGCCATTAATGCTGGCTTCTATACTAGAGCTAGCCCAAGGTATTTAATTAATTAATTAATTAATTTGTTTGTTTATTAGTTCGTACTTTATATTAATATCAGTCGCTTAGAATATTTTTGAAGCCAACAACACGATCTCTATTCTTATTCAATCTTGCGTGGCAGATTTAATTCAATTCGGGTTACTCCGTAATTAATTAATAACATGATGATGAAAGTAGTTTTTTTTTTATCATCAAACCGAAACTTCTATTAATTCAATAAATCGTTAGCCATATGGCTGCTAATACAAATCGGAATACAATCATAATTAGCTCTATGATCTGAGATGCTCACGAGTGACCTAGCCAGAACATGAGTCACCCGATTCGCAGACCTTTTACAAAAATAGATATCAAAATTACTCTTTGTTCCCACAATTCTTCTAATGTCATCAATAATTAAGTGAATATAAGCCAGTAACTATGTTTGAAGTATGACTATTATACTTTTATTGGTATAATAATAACAATATATAATTTGGTCAATTTTGTTTTAATTAAATATTCATGATGATTAAATAAAGAAGACACTCCGGAGTGAATCAAAAGCGTTTAGCCTATCGTTTTTACGGTATATGTAGTGCTAATATCAAATAAACCATTGATTCCCTAATCTCAAAATAAGATGTAAAAGGTCTTTTTTTATAATCTATATATATGGATTTTAGTTACAATGGTAGTTTCAAAATCAGTAAGGAAGACTTAATTAATTTTTTCTTTCTTTCAAAAGGAATTGAAGACATGTTTTTATTGTTAGTTTATGAGGTAAAAAGAAATTTTCCACCTTTTATTTGGAGGGTACGGTGAAACGGGTGGGTGTGGGGTGTTAGTCGGCGAACGGTGGCTTCCAACCATAGTCCATAAATGTGAGAGTCAGTAAGTAAATACAGCATTTCCTCTAAAGGTTGGTGATTAAAATTTTATTTTTCTATACTATCGTACAAGGTATAATAACATTTGTCTGACTACGGAATTCCTTCTTTCAAATAACGCTAGAGTTTTCTAGGAGTTTAGTTTTATGAGTAAAATAATCCATGCAATTAGTAATTCAATAAATGTAATACAAAAAGAAATACTCCGTATACAGTATAATACACAATAATAATATTATCTTTATGTTTTTTGCAATTTCAAATCGCAATGAATGATCACACCATCGCATGGATGAAGTAGGAAAAGTAGGACACGTAAAAAGTAGGAGGTAATTAAATTCATATTCGTGAAATAATGAAATAATGAAATTCAGAAGGCCTATGATTGGTGTACACATTTTTGCGTACACCTTTCAGGATAGACAATTGTTTGTTGATGTCTACAGACAACTGTGTATGAAAGGTGTATACAAAAAATGTGTACACATGACATTTTTAGAAAGTATCTATAAGTTTTATACGGAGTTTATTTTTTTTCAAAACAAGTGAGTATATGCACTACTAGAGCTAAGGCAATTGCTACGTAGTATTAGAGAGTGACGACGCAGTCCCCATCAAACAGGCATGTTCTTGACAAATTATCTTCAATTGGTTCACGCAATTTACCAATAATATTACTACTACGCATGCATGCATGCATGTAAATTAGTCATATCACTCTTTTGTAGTTTTGTATATACACACACGTCATTATCCTATTTCATTTATGCTGAATGAAAAGTAATTGTGTTTTCACTTTTTAGGAATCACTAGGCATCATCACCCCCACAAATATATTAGCTTTAATTTAGTGTATTAATAAGCTTCTCCAAATCTCTATATTATCCCCTAATAATTTTGTTTTGCATCTATAAGATACTTTTGAAAAGGGTATGTTTAGCACAACTAGATGAAAAGATACTTTTGTGAGCTTTTTAATAACTGTTAGCTTTTAGTGACTGAAAAGATCTTAAAGAGAAAAGGTGGTAGCTGTTTGATTAAAAGCTGACTGTTTGATTTAGTTCGGTTTGGTATACAAGCTGTTAGGACTAATTAATACTAAAAGTCACGGGCTTTTTTCAGATGCTACTCCCTGTAGCATCTCAAAAAAGACCTTTTAATTTGTGAAAAGCTCTTAAAAATTATCATGTCAAACATATAATTAGAAGCTTTTAGAGACTTTTTGAACAATACAAAAGCTAGAAGGTAGAAACTTATGTCTAAGCATAGTTTAAAACTGTCTTTTAGGATGAAAATGATCCAAGTTATCACTAAAAGATCTTTTCCCCATCACATGACTCTAACTTAGTCATTTGTGTGGAGTTGTCCACTATAAAGTGCTTGAACTAAATAGTTAGATCATATATATTAGGAATTGGTCATTGTTTGTCGCGTCACATTTTGATGGTTATCCTTGTTTTGAGAGGAAAATTGTGTAAATGTTTTGCTCTAAAGGATTATATGAATACTTTTAAATAGAGAACCCCTAAAATAGAAAAGAAAAGAATAGCTAAGTTTTTCGTATAAGGACATCATATTTTCTTCTTAAAATACTACCTCCGTTCTTAAATAAATGCAACACTTTGACTTTTACACTATTCACATGTTCTACTTTGACTACGTTTTATTTATTAATGTAATAATATTATTTTATGAAAAAAATATTGTTAAACTTGTCTCATTGTAGATTTTCATAATCTAATTTTTTTTAATTTTTTTACTAATACAAAATCATTTATATTAATGATCAAAGTTGTGTCTCGGCAAGTGTGAAATGTTGACCGTTGCATTTATTTAAGAACGGAGGAAGTATGATTCAATCACTCTTACACTGTTACACGTTAAAGTTTTATTGATTCATTCTTTTTTGGAAGAATTGCAATTTTAGTTTCGTAACTTTATTGAGTTTTAGATTTGGTCTTTTAACTAATAAATTTTGCAATTTAAGAACTTTTCCACCGGAATATATTCTTTCCGGTAGAAAATTTGACACCGGCGTCATCTCTTCCGATGAATTTACCGTCAAAGAGTGTACTTTCAGATAGAAAAAGTCTTAAATTGCTAAGATTTACTAATTACAAAATGAAATTTGCAACTGAGTAACGTACAGGCCTAATAACAGGCACAACCAAAAGTTACTGGACTAAAATTTCAAGTTTTCCTTCTTTAATTAGGTCTGAGTTAAGTAATTCATATTTTGAAAATAAAATAAAATTAATCTTATTTATGACTTTTTGTGTTTTACTCAGATTAGTTCTTTTATCTTATGTATATATCGAAGTTAGATATTTAATTTACATGTTGACAGCTTGTATGATAGAAGTCAAAAGCTTAGAGCCCGTTTGGCAGCACGAAAATCGGTTGTTTTGGCTGATTCTGCTGAAATTTATGAAGTTCTGGCTGAAGTGGTTGCATTGGCTGATTCTGCTGATACAAGAAAAAAATTATTTTAAAATATATTTTATTAATAAAATAAAGAAAAAATTATATGTAAAAATAGCTAAAATGATCATCTACAGTAACTTCAGCCAATACAGCCAGAAAAGTAACTCTAACCTTACTTTTTCGGCTTATTACACAATTCAGCGCGCGAAAGCAAAGTTTACGTGTTTGGTAAAAAAGTTGGCTGATAAGCCTGATAAGCCGAAAATGAGGGTTGCCAAACGGCCTCTTAATTTGGATCATATTGTAGAAAGTCCAATTTCGATGTACACATGTTGTGGTACATAAGCTTATTTTCTCGACCCCAATATATAATAGGCAATTTCTATGGTACCTTGATGGTATGGACCAATAAAAAATTTTCAATTGAGTACTTTAAATGCAAATAAAATGTAAAACTTTGAGTTGGACCAATGAAATGCATTCTCGGTATGTTACCCTCCTATTTTTGTTGGGCCCCATAGCAAGCACCTATGTAATAACTCAACCGCAAAAATTTCACTAGTAGGGCTATATGTGACTTTGTATTAATTATGGTACCATTTCTGATTGTACATATCTAAGACTAAATCGTGAAAAACACGATAGCCACCAACATTTGATATGAATTAATTAAAACCCACTTGTACCATTTGGGCGGGCGGACGGGTGGGCGGGCGGGCGGGTCTCACATGTGGTGCCAATTTGCTGATAATTTCTTGCTTTGAGAAGGGATAGGATTCAATCTGTAGGGAATACATTATTGTACTCACAACCGCCCAATGTGTTCAATTACTCCTCCACACAACCACCCTCATTTATGCCGCCTACCTCACAACAATTCTCTCTTCTTATCACACTTCTTTTCAAGTTCCATCCCAACAACAACAAACTGATTATCCGATTACCCGAACTTTTATTGGCTTGATTTTCTGGTTGGGTCTCATCTTGGTTGATTTAGTCAACTTATATGTGAATATAATGTGATCTTCAATACCCTCTCTTTCAAATAATTAGTGTTGCCACATCATTTAAATTTATTATCCATTTAAAACCTGATGCATTTATATATCTATCAGTTTTTATTATATTCAAGTTTTATTTCCAAAGTTCCATAAAATTTTGATGTAGTTTCCGTATAAGTGTATTTAATTTATCAATAATAACTTAAATGCTATGCTCACCGGCCAAACGAAGCACATACATAGCACACTGATTTGCTAGAAAGGGAAAATTATGTGTTGTTAGTATTGTACTATGGTTTATCTAATCTATTCCGATTTGAAAAGTTTTTTGAGGGAGGACACTTTTTTCAATGTGAAATGAGAACGGTCTAAAATGATGCACGATATGATTCACGGAGTGTACATTCATGGTTAAAATAATGTGCAATTTAAATTTGCACATTTGTGATTAAAACAATGCGCCGTTCAAATGCACATTTTCAAATTTATGACAATGCATATTTCTCTTTCACATAATGCACCATTCTCAAATGTAATACTTCAAAATCATTCTCATTTCTCTTCTTAAATCATGTTATCATTTGAAAATTTAGACTTTAGATACGATGAAATCTACTACTCCTAAGTATATGAAATTAGAGATCAAAAGTGCAATGCATTCACTAGTAATTAATGAACTGTAGTAATATAATACTGTATTATAAGTTTTGTCTAACATGATTAATGATTTTCATTTGATTGCTTGGTGTAGTTTTATCAAGGAAATGGGATGGGATGCAAATGTAGTGAATGAATCCTACCCTTGGGTAGAGAAGCAAATTGTACACAAACCAAAGGTGACATCTTGGCAACAGGCCTTCAGGGACGGTCTCCTGGAAGCCGGCGTTTCCCCTTTCAATGGCTTCACATACGATCACAAGTACGGAACAAAGGTTGGCGGGACAACCTTCGACAGGTTCGGCCGCCGCCACACCGCTGCCGAGCTGCTCTCCACGGCCAACCCGAGGAACCTCGAGGTTCTCGTCTTCGCCACCGTGCAAAGGATCGTGTTCGACACGTCGGGAAAGAAGCCGAGGGCGATCGGGGTGACCTTCCGGGACGAAAATGGAAATCAACACCAAGCCTTTCTTTCAAGGAAGCAAGGGAGTGAGGTTATAGTGTCAAGTGGGGCCGTAGGCAGTCCTCAGCTTTTGTTGCTGAGTGGGATCGGACCAAAGGCTGAGCTGGAAAGGCTGAAAATTCCGGTGGTGTTTGATAATGAAAACGTGGGGAAGGAGATGGCCGATAACCCTTTGAACACAATCTTTGTTCCTTTGAAACATAATGTTCCGCCATCTCTTATACAGACAGTGGGAATCACTAAGGTGGGAGTGTACATTGAGGCTAGCAATGGGTTTGGGCAGTCCCAAGATAGCATTCACTGTAATCATGGTATCACTTCAGCAGAGGTTAGTCATTCTTACATCTCCTGTAGTGACCTTGTTTTTTGAGTTATTAAGTTTTTCATCAAACGCGTAACTTTTGATCAAAAAATCTGTTTGTACCCATTTTCATTCACTGCTACTTCGGCAGCGGATCACGCAATGTTGAAGTTACTTTTCTACCTGAATTGGACTATTGACTAAAGTTACTGCAGAAGATTATTTTAGTTGTTTTTTCATATAATTTTTTCTTCATTTTATTAATATTTTTATTTTATTTTCATCAAGCAGCAGAATTAGCCAATCTAACTGCACTTCACTCAGAATTTCATAAATTTCAACAAAATCATCCAATATAACCATTCCAAATTATTTGAATCAAGTTAAGGATGTTTTTTATTGGACCAAAATTTGGTCTGCTCTGGTCTGAGCTCAACTGGTCTGGTATATGTGTACTTTGTGACTTTCGAAGTTTGATCTGGTCTGATCTGATCTGTGTGAGTTTGATCTGATCTGATCTGGACTGGAATAAGTCAACATCCTAAATTTTGATGCTAGAAATCTAAGATTAATTTTATGTATATTTCTTGATTAAGAAACAGGGGGCACATTTTGCTTGTATGGTGCTATTACCTGAAGTAGTCATTTTGGGGTATTTTCTTGATGTATTGCAGATAGGACAACTTTCAACCATTCCTCCAAAGCAAAGAACAAATGAAGCAATTGAAGCTTTCAGGCGCAGCAAGAAGAATCTCCCCCATGAAGTATTCAAGGGAGCTTTCATACTAGAAAAGCTTGCACGACCCTTATCAAGAGGACATCTTATGATAAAAAACACCAATGTTGATGACAACCCTTCTGTCACATTCAATTACTTCAATCATCCTGAAGATCTCAAGAAATGCGTGGATGGAATCCGCATTGTCGAGAAGATCGTGAAGTCCAAACGCGTCACAAACTACGCACAGTGCGATAAGGACACACTCGACAAGTTGCTCAACATGAGTGCCCAGGCTAACGTTAACCTCATACCTAGGCACACAAATGATTCTCGGTCTCTTGAACAGTTCTGCAAAGATACTGTCGTCACAATATGGCACTACCACGGTGGATGCCACGTGGGGAAGGTCGTCACACCTGATTATCGAGTTCTCGGTGTCAATAGAGTCCGCATTGTTGATGGCTCCATCCTCTCCGAATCTCCGGGAACAAATCCTCAAGCCACCCTCATGATGATGGGCCGGTAAGCTATATATATTGATCAAATCGACATCTTCGAAAATATGTTGATTTAATGCTAAAACTTATTTTTGTGCTCGGTATTATACTTTTAACTTGACTCACGTAGTCACATGCAAATAGTGCCTTTTAACTTATCCTTTCATGTTGGTGTTAGTTGACATCTAAGGACATCTCCCATGCAAGAGTATATTGCAGTTCCACATCATCAAATAGATCTTCATAGTTGAAATCTATGTAGCACGGAAACTCTCGAGAAAGAGTACGTTTCCCGTTTCGGAAACTCTCGAAAACTCTTTGGAAACTCCCCAAATAAGCGTTTTTGAATAAAAGTTGATGTTCCTCATTTTCCGTTTCCTCATTTTTCGCGTTTCCGTGCAATATAGGTTGAAATCTCTTCTCCAATGCAAAAATAAATGGGTCTAGTCTTGTTGAGTCAGCAGAGAGAGAAAGTAGATAATGTCTAGCCCAAGGTCTCAATTGGGCCTTTAAACATTCCTAGCCACTTATCTAAATGGATGTAGCTTTTTCCTTTTATTTAAAATTTCTTCTCTTTTTAATTTTGTTTTCAACTCCTTGCATTGGAGACAAATATGAATGGACCATCTCACATTTTATATGTTTGCCCACACACTCAATAGACCAAACTCATATTTTTGCCACATCAACAACGATCGACTCCAAGCATTGCAGATGCTCTAAGGTGTTAGGAAATATGACAATAATTATACTTATTTTAATAATACAAACATACGTGTTATTCCTACTATAATATATGTATCACAAATGTTTTTACTTCTATTTAGGACAAGTTACGAGTAATAAACAAGACAAGTAGCTCAAAACTTCCTAAACATGTTGATATTTTTTTCACATACATTTAGATAAGATTTGGGACTCTATATGTTCTGATATATATATCTCCAACATATAATATCTCAATAATGAATGTATGAACATAATTGTGACGCAGGTACATGGGGGTGAAGATATTAAGAGAGAGATTAGGAAAATAAATCGTGGTGGTTTGCAGAGAAACTTACACATCTGGAGGTAGTAGCTGATGAATAGACTGAACATTATTATTTTTCCTTCCCTTTCCCTCATTTTATTTGGCACCAATCGTGTTTGGGTTGTGATTAACACATGTATGTTATATTATTCATTTTAATTCTTACCAAGCGATGTTAATTCAGTGTAGTCTTTGGCCTGTACGTAGAGTAAGGTTGACATAATAAAAAATTAATTATTATGATCAATCATGATATATATATATCTTGTTTTGAAATTCGAACTTGGACATTTTTTAACATTTGATACTTGATGCATGGAGAAAGAGAAAAGGGAAAATTACACAGCACTTGAATTGATATGTAGAATTGTTAGTAGGGAACTTAAAATACTGATGAATTACATTTTTTTTACTTTAGGGGGCGTCTTGAGAAGAGGTCTGGAAGAGCTTAGAGTAATCTAGTCTGAAACTCAGATTATTGACTTTCGAAACTGAGACCTTTCGTAAAGGAGAGTGAGTCACGACCACTTGGGCTAGATCGCTTCCTCATACTGATGAATTACATATTCATTAGTGATAGATGCTTCAACATAAGTATAAGTATAAGATATGGTCCATAACGAATTACGAATAAAAAATCCTCATTGTGGACGGTCTAAAACCCCCACCATTTAGCTCATTTTGTTGGAGTCGTCTTCTAAGAAATAAAAGTAAGTGTATGACTTTATAAGAGTCCGTTTGGTAACACTGAAATCGGCTGATTTCGCTGAAACTTAGGATTTGTTTGGAAGCAGCTGCAATGACTGAAAAGTCTGAAACGGCCGATTTTGCTGAAGTGAGAGTGTTTGGTAATATGTTAGCTGAAATGCCTGATTCAATGTAAAATTACCATTAAGGATATTTGCTTATTTGTGTTAAATATATGGTGTGCACTTTAGTACTAGTAGTAAATTATTTTTTCTTGATTAGGTAATTATATTAGATTACATAATTAATTGATTACTTTGAAAATTTTATTCTTACTCTTATGTCGAATTTTATATTGTTTTATACAACTATTTTTCCAAAAACACGTATTTTTGAATGAGGGACATTAGTATTATTTTTGTGACTAATATGAGTAAATTATTTTTAAAATATATACTTTCTATAAAGTATATAAACAAGCTCACATGCGTTTAAATTAAAATAAAATGATACATAAAATACACATAAGTATTCATAGGAGTTCATTCAAAAATAAAATGATACATAAAATACACAAACGTACCAACATTATTACACGACAAATTATAATGTTCGAAAATACGTTAAGCAAAGAAAATACATAATAGAACACATGCAAAAGTCATCAACGACATTGCCTCATATTACACGTCAAATTTTTTCTGTAATTTCATTTTGTAATCAGTGGCGTATCCAGGAATTGTTGTGAGTGGGGGCGAGTTCATACTACTCCCATCGTCCCATAAAATTCTTCTGACTTAATCTTTTTGGTATGTCACAAAAAATTCTTTTTTCATTTCCCTATCTGAAAAATTTTGTGTGACTAACATTCGTTTACCTACTCGACCACAATCATACATTTTCATTTTATTCTCACTTTCTTAAAGTTCGGTCCAAGTCAAACCGAGAAGAGATTTATAAGACGGAGGGAGTGTATATTATTTCAAGCAGGTCACAAGTATACGAAAACATAATTGAGAGAATAATGGCTCTCCCTATTGGGTGCCTTAGCCGTCTATATATAATAAAACAGAGTTATGATATATTACAACGTAATCCCTAAATATTACATTATTACACCCCCTCAATTTGTGCAGGGGAAATCACATGCAAATTGAAACGCAAAAATTCAAAACGCTGACTAGATAAGTTCTTAGTGAAGATATCCGCCAACTGTAGCTGGGTAGGAATATGCTTTACCACAAGATCTCCATGTGCTACTCGTTCACGAACAAAATGGTAGTCAATTTTAATGTGTTTACTCCTGTCATGCTGAATGGGATTAACTGCTAAGTAAGAAGCTGAGACATTATCACACAGAAGCTGCATTGGGGCCGAAATAAAAATGCCCATATCTGCCAGTAGTGATATGATGAAAAGTGTATCCTGAACAGTATAAGCAATAGCCCTGTATTCGGCCTCAGTAGAGGATTTAGACACCGTGGGCTGTTTCTTTGAGCGCCATGAAATCAAATTTGAGCCGAGAAACACCGCATAGCCCGTAGTAGACCGCGAGCTATCTCGACAGCCGGCCCAATCCACATCAGAGTAGGCCATAACCACAGAAATATTTTTATCAGCCTGTAACCAGAGACCATGATTGCTCGTGCCCTGCAAATACCTGTAAATCCTCTTAACATCCAAAAGGTGAGTAGTACGTGGAGCATGCATAAACTGGGACACAAGGTGTACAACATAAGTAATATCAGGTCTAGTAATGGTAAGATAGTGAAGAGCATCGACCATACTACGATACTCAGTAATGTCAAATAAAAGTTCCCCATCTGTGACAGACAAAGTAATGCGTGAAGGTAGGGGGGTACGAACAGGCTTCACTGTATGAAGGTGAAAACGACGTAAGAGATCAGATATATATTTAGCCTGAGATATGAACAAACCCGTAGGTGTGCGTTTAGCCTGTATACCTAAGAAATAATGAACCTCCCCCAAATCCTTCATCGCAAATTGATGAGATAGTGTGGCTATAACAGAAGAAACAAAAGAAGTAGAAGAACCGATAATGAGAATATCATCGACATACAGAAGGATATACACCACCTGAGACGCAGTACGATAGGTGAACATGGATGAGTCAGACCTGCTCTCTGTAAAACCACAACTCAACAAAAAACCATTGAAGCGATGAAACCAAGCCCTTGGAGCTTGTTTCAGGTCATAGAGAGCCTTATGAAGACGACAGACATGATTAGGATAGGACGGATGAATAAAGCCTTGAGGTTGGCGCATACACACCTCCTCAGTCAAAACACCATGCAAAAATGCATTTTTCACATCTAACTGATGAACATACCAGCCCAAAGAAGTGGCTACAGATAAAACAAGACGAACAGTAGTCGGTTTAACAACAGGACTAAAACTTTCAGTAAAGTCAACACCATCGTGTTGATTAAAACCTTGAGCAACTAAATGGGCTTTATGCCGCTCCACAGACCCATCAGAAAGATATTTTGTCTTATAAATCCACTTACATCCAACCACATTTTTAGTAGGGTCCCAAGGTACCAAATTCCAAGTCTTATTATTAATTAAAGCATTAAATTCATCCGCCATGGCAGCCCGCCAAATAAAACTTTTATTTGCCTGTGTAAAACATGTAGGATCATCCGGGGGAGATAAAGCACTTAAAGTAAAAATATGTTTGGGTTTAAAAGTACCATCCTTGACGCGAGTACGCATTGGATGAATATTGAGGGGTGGTGGGGGAAGGGAGAGAGCGGCTGTGGATGACGGTGGAGACTGAGGGTTGTGGTTACTGGTTTCGGAGAGAGGTGTGGTGACCGAGAGTGGTCTTGGAATGAACTAAGCTCCGTTTCCACTGGACTAGACTGATGTTTTGTTACCATATGCGTTATTATAGTACTCTGTATATATCATGTATATGCATCACACCAATATATGTATAATTGAATCTATATATATATATATATATATATATATATATATATATATATATATATATATATATATATATATATATATATTTGAGGGTTGGGTGGAGGAAGCTGCTCCCTGCCCCCACCCTGGATACGCCACTGCTTGTAATACAATCATAGGTTTGAAAACTTACTCCGCCAACCTCATTTGAAGACCTTCCAATAGGTTCGTGTGTTGGTGGAGTAATGAGATCTCCCGGAACAAAAAAACCTAGTCAATGATAGTACACCAGATCAATGTAAACCTGATTAAAAAACAACTATATGAAACTTGTTACTCCCTTCGTCCCTAAATGTTCTTCCAAATTAAAGTGGCACGATGATTAAGAAAGTGAGAATTGTGTGGTGGAGAGTTGTGCAGAGGAGACAGAAATGCTGTGAACCACAAATTCTTTGCCAAAAAAGGAAAGTAAAGTTCTTTTTGGAACGGACGAAAAGGGAAAGTTGGAAGTAAATTTAGGGACGGAGGGAGTACTTGGAATGAAGCCCACATTAGCAAAAAAAAAAATGGAAAGTTTAAAACCAGACTCTAGTATTTATTTACATTATGTACTAGTGAAACGGAAGAAATACCAGTGGAAAAGGAAAAAACACATATGCCAAACCATCGTGTACAATATTGACAACCAATGACACAATGATGTTATATATATTATTCTGATTGCACAACGAAAGAGTAAATTGAATGGGATATATATATTTCTAGTAACAACCCCAATATAAAATGATAGGTTTAAGCGTGCCAAGGAGGAAACAAAAACGACAGATCAACTAGCAGAAGAAAATCAAGTTGTCTTATTGTGAAAGGGCTGACTGAAAATTTTAAGGAAAAGGACTGGGTACACCAGCTCAGCAAACTAGTGTAATATCAGATATATAAGAAATAACTCACCCACACTTGTAGCATATATTTCCTAAGCAACCAATCAATCCAGTAGGATTCCATCTCAGTATGACAGTATGGATCACATTCTTGCTACTTTTTGTCAAGACACCAATACTGTAACACCGTCCCCCAGCATATTTACTTTTAGTAAATTATGTAATAAACCTTGAAGAATGAATTATGAATTTGCGAAGTTGTAAATTTTTATTATTCTTTTGCGTGAATAGTAAATTGCACGTGGGGCCCGCACCAGGAACGGAGACCGCCCGATAATTCCAGAACCACATATTATATTCATCTTAGTCTAGATAATATGTATATGGTGGTGGATATTTTAGTTGGGCCATAGAAAGGGCATGGAGTTGACCCGTTGGTCAATCGAGACCCAATTACTGATATTGGTAATTTATCGGATAACAGCCCGAAATGAATTTCCCAGACATCTAAATTAAAGTTGGGGAATGTGCATCTATTCTAAAGGCATAAAATGATTAGGAACATGTGATATATTTTATTTGGCCCGATAAAATAAAATATAATTAAAACACTCCGAGAAATACAACTTTCGGGGCCGATTGTACACATCGGGGGACACAAAGGGATGACCTCCCACATGAGTGGGGGCCATCCCACGTTTTTAGCCACGTTTTTAGCCTTACAAAGGGAAAGGAGCAAGCTTGAATTGATCGGTGGCCAAACAAATAAAAGAAATGGGACCCCTCCCATATTATTGTTGTGAGAAATGCCAAAAAGGCATTCTCAATCAACAACCAACCCAATAATTCTAATTGGACCTCAGCCAAGGTGTGAGAAGCTCTGCAAATCATCTTCTTCTTCACCCATTTTGGCACCAAGAGCAAGGAAGGAAAAAGAGGAGAAAAAAGGGGTGATTAAGAAGGGAAAATCTAGGATAACAAGGTAATGACTTCACTAATCCTATTTTCCTTTTCTTAATCTTTTCACATGATTGTGTAATCATATGAAGGAGCCCTAGGATTTTTCTACATGTTTATAAGTGTAGAATGAGGGGTTGGAAGGTAGTTCTAAGTCCAAGAACGGACTTAGAAATCAAAGTGTCTGGTTCGCCGGAAAATAACCTTTTAGAGGTTATTTGTGTTGATATGAGTTTTGTGATGATAAAACCTTGTTAGGAGCTTGACTAAGGTGTTCCAAACTGTCACCGGAGTTTCACCGGAGTGTCGTCGGAGTTTCGCCGGAGTTCACCGGAGCTTCGCCGGAGTTCAACCGAGAAGGGTAGAACTTCTTAAAGCTCATTCGAGGTGAGGATGACTGACTATATTGCTTAAAATTAGTGAGTTAATTTCATAAGATTACCTAAAGTATTAAATGTAATTTTCATGGATTATTAATGATTAATAATGCCTAAATGAAAATACTATTGCATATGAGTAAATGAAGCATGATATACAAATTGTAGAAGAAA